CGCCCGAAGCCAGAAGCATCTAAGTAAGAAGTACATGGAATTAAGGCGAATGTTGGCTTAATTATGTGAATCGACAAGAGACATTTTTTTTTTATATAATACTCTTGACACTGTAACGTTAGATATATACTTTGGAATAATGAATAAAGGTATTGAGAGAGAGAGATTCTCCAATTTGTCTTTGTAGGTCTTGTGATTTCAATTCAGTTAATTTCCCCAAGTTGATAGCCACATGTTATGGCTGCAAGGAATATTTTTGCAAATTGCTTGTCTATTTCCATCACACAATTCCAATTTTAATTATGCATATATTGCAGGCAGCCTTCCCCAGTATGCATACATGGTTTAGCAAAACAGGTTTGTGATTTCCTTAATTATGTGCCATTTTTCTTTCTAGAACTTAATACCTATATTTGTGTAGAGAATTCAGTGCTATTTATTACAGAAGAAGAAGAAGAAGAATTGATATTTATTACAGAAGAAGAAGAAGAAGAAGAATTGAATTCCTCTTGTGATAAGAATTAATATGGTGGATAATTTTCACTTAATTAAAACAAAAACTCATTTTGATATTGAAATTGAAGGTTTCTTTTGTGAAATATTAACAAGAAAATGCAACTTTCTTTTTCAAAAGCAATGATTTTTATAGAAACCATCATGTTCTAATTAATTATACTCTAGTTTTAAATTTCTACCATGTCTTTTTGAAGCCCACTGGATTTAATCTTTTTACATGATTACCATAAGACCTGTAATTATAGGGATAATATCCATATAAATGAAACCCACTGTTATTATTATTATTATTATTAATTTTTGAGGGTGGGGCTAGAAATCTGCCAAAATAACCACATGATGATAAAGTTCATTGTATAGACAATTAGATTGTTTGCAAGTATGATAAAAATTAATTTTTAAAATGTTTTTTATTTAAAAATACATTAAAATACAACCTCCAAGTTTTCTTGCCGTGGCAGTTCAATTTAATGTTATTTATTAGCTATCTCATTTACATTCACACAAACACCTATAACCTATTTCATGTTAAGAAAGGCATGATTTATAGATCAAGACAAAAACGGCTGAAAAGGATCCTATGATTGTTGAAAGCAGGTGAGTGTTAGTTGCCAGCACGGTTGATATTACAATTTTTAAATTTTTTATTTTAAAATACATTAAAATAATATTTTTTTATTTTTTAAATTTATATTAGCACATCAAAATAATTTAACAATATCCAAAAAATAATTTAAAATAAAAAATTAATTATTTACAAAAAAAAAAAACAAATAGCACCTACACATAATATGTTCATTGTACATAACATTAGTATATTTGTCCGCACTTTGCTGTGGGTTAGACTATTTTTTTTCTGAACTTCAAAAAAATTAAAAGTATGAATATTTTTTTAGTAATATTATTAAATCAAATCAAGTAGTTCAACTTTGAAACTTGCTAATTCTATTTTTTAACTAGTTCAAGTTTTAAATTAAACTATGTGAGAGCTAATCTAAAATGAATAATTCAATTAAGTGGATCCAAAGAAAACTTGGATGATTGCTAAAATCATGATATAACTTTAAAAAAAAAAAAAATTAAGACAACATTTGTTTTAGTATTGAGATAATTATATAATGGATCAATTTCAGTCACCTTGCGACTTTGATCATAAACTTTAATAAGTTTAATAATTTTTTTGTTTTTATAAATTACTTTTAGTTTATTTTATAATAAAATTAGATACTTATAAAATTAAATATCAACCCTATAAAAGATGTTATTGAGATCATGATAGCTTTACAAAAAATAAAAAAAAATCATGAATTTCATTTTCTAACTAATCCAATATTGAATGACAACTAATCCAATATTAAATGAGAATGAAATAAAAAAACAATTAGAAAAATTAAAGGATCAAAAACTATATAAAAAAAACATATTATGTTAGATGGGTAAACCTATTAAACCCATGAATCGGGTACCCCAGGTCAACACATCAAACCCGCAAACTGGGTAATGGATTTCATTTAGATTAATAACTTGTTTTTTTTCTAAATTATTATTTATTTAACTATATGATAAAAAAAATAATTATAAAATCGAGCATCATACTAATATTAAGGCCTTTTAAAAAAATTATAATAACTTCATAAAAAGAAAAACAAAACAAATTATTAAACTCAATTCTTTATCAACCCAATATCAAAGCATAAAATAAAAAAATAATTTTTTTTATAGAAAAGCTAAATTGGCCAACCCATTAATAGGCCTATGAACTTTCTAAAATTTAATAACATATTTTTATTTAAAATTATTTTCTTAATTATATAATAAAAAGAAAAATAAATGATTACATAATCAAGTTCATTCATAAAAAAAAAATATCCTACTAAACCTATGAATCGTAGCAACAAGAATTATCTCGCTAAACTTGCAAATCATGTCATTTACTCTATAAAGTTTAAAACCTAGTTTTTTCAAAAATAATTTTTTATTTAAATAAAATTTTTAAAAAATAGATTATACCGCGATAAGAAGATATTTTTTAAAATCACTTTTTTTATTTAAATAATTTTTTTAAAAATAAATTATACTGTGTTGATAAGATGTTTTTCTAATAGTAACTTAATACTAAGGTATTTTTCTGTTATAACAATAAGTATATAAAATATAAATTAAAATAAATTATTAACTTTAATTTCTCATAACCACAGCCTATTTTTTTTTAAAAAAAAAATTCGCAACCAAAAAAATAGAAAAACATACACACTGTTGTAATTACCTTCGGTGCCAATGGATCTAGAAAAATAGAGTCATCCTTGCATCTTTTAACTTTACCCTTGATAGAGTCACATAATGATAACTAGGGCTCGCCTAATTTATCGTATTATAAAATATCTCCTATGTATAAATGACATGCATCTCACAATTATTATGAGATACATGTCATTTATAAAGAGTGATCATTTAATGTATTCTTAATGATATCGTAAATGTAAAGAGTTGTAAATATTATTTTTTAAAATATTTTGTATTTGAAAAAATCTAAAATAATATTTTTTAAAATATTTTTTTATATTAATATATTAAAACAATATAACAAAATATAATTTAAAACTAAAAAATAAAATCAAAATTAAATTATAATACCAAATATTACTTAAATATATGCGACAATTATTTGTAATATTTCATATTAGTAAGTGATGGAGTCGTAACTAATATTTTTTTTAGATTAATGTGTGTATCCGGGTTAGCTTGTATGCACTACGATTAATTATACGGAACCTGAAGTTAACAGTCATGTAAGTCTTCAATGACCATCATATAAGTAACTAAAGACTCGAATTTAAGATCATAGAAGAAACAAACCTTTTAATCCAATGTTTTTATCACTTAACCACCATCTAAATAATTAATAACTAATATTATTAGTAGTACTAATTGCTAATATATTATATATATTTTAAGCCGGTAAGTTATTAAAACTAAAATTATAAAGTGTAAAAGCTGAATTGGATTGAATCAAAATAAATAATATATAATATATTAGATCAAGCTGTTTCATTAACTGTCCTTGTACAATGCATCAAATCTTTTTATTTGTACATAGCATGTATTTGGTAGAAAAACGGTGAAGATCAAATTCCAATCAACCTCCCAACAAAAAGGAAATAAATCTAGAATATTAAAAAAAAAAAAATCATAGAAAACGTATGGAGTTCCCTAAAGTTAAAGTTAAAGTTGAAGAATAAAAACAAAAGTGGGGGCAGCGGTAAATGAAATAGAAAAACACTAGTAATTAATAATAATAAAACCCCTATCAATCAGTTTGGTACATATGCTTATAATATATATAAGAGCAACATTTTTGTGGATTCACATGTGGTTTCCAATTCTGCATGCACTTTAATCTGATTCTGGCTCCACTGTTATACCAACCATCATATAAGTAACTAAAGACTCGAACTTAAGATCATAGAAAAAGCAAACCTTTTAATCCAATGTTTTTATCATTTGACCACCACCTAAATAATTGATAACTAATATTATTAGTAATACTAATTGCTAATATATTATATATATTTTAAGCCGGTAAGTTATTAAAACTAAAATTATAAAGTGTAAAAGCTGAATTGGATTGAATCAAAATAAATAATATATAATATATTAGATCAAGCTGTTTCATTAACTGTCCTTGTACAATGCATCAAATCTTTTTATTTGTACATAGCATGTATTTGGTAGAAAAACGGTGAAGATCAAATTCCAATCAACCTCCCAACAAAAAGGAAATAAATCTAGAATATTAAAAAAAAAAAAATCATAGAAAACGTATGGAGTTCCCTAAAGTTAAAGTTAAAGTTGAAGAATAAAAACAAAAGTGGGGGCAGCGGTAAATGAAAGGTGAAATAGAAAAACACTAGTAATTAATAATAATAAAACCCCTATCAATCAGTTTGGTACATATGCTTATAATATATATATATATATATAAGAGCAACATTTTTGTGGATTCACATGTGGTTTCCAATTCTGCATGCACTTTAATCTGATTCTGGCTCCACTGTTATACCATGGAATGTTTGTAGAGGATTAGTTTTGTCTTTTAATTTAAAAATATATTAAAATAATATATTTTTAATTTTTTTAAAATTATTTTCAATATCAGTATATTAAAATAATTTAAAGTTACTAAAATAATATTTAATTTATTTTAAAATTATATAAATAATTTAAAATTACTAAAAAAATATTTAATTTATTTTAAAATTATCTTTAAAACACAAAAAAAATACAGTATCTATATCTTCTCTCTCTACTCCTCGACCAGAGAAATGTGTGAAACCAATCCATTATTCCGTCGCTGCCAAAAAAAAAAAAAAAAAAACACCTTTTTCCCACCCTATTCTTTGCTCGATTTTCATGGCTTTTGCTTTTGCTTTTTCTTTTTTAATAATTTCCACATCTCATTAATCTAAAAACGACACCACCTCATCATTCCATATTGCCAAGCTTCTCCCCTCCTCCACTCCCAAGCTTCTCTGCTTATAAATATTCTTGCCTGCTCCCCTCTCTCCTCCTCCTCCTCAAAAGAAAGCTTCACCTTCTTCAAATCCTTCATTCCTTGCAAGGTGCACTTCTCCTCTTGTCCTGGGCCCACGTCTACTTCTTCTCTGCCTCTCACCTGAACCCAAGCTAGCCTTTGATGCAGTTACGTTTGTGATGATCTAATTCTCACGAGGTTCTTGCTTCCTTTTCTTTTCTTTCTTTTTTCTTTTTTTTTTCCCTGCAGAGAGATTTCGAGATAAAAACCATGGCTGCCGAGCTGGAAAAAAGCAACAAGGCACCTACCAAAAAGTTGCAGAAAAGCTACTTTGATGTGCTAGGCCTTTGCTGTTCTTCAGAGGTTCCTTTGATCGAGAATATCCTCAAGTCACTTGATGGTGTTAAAGAGTTTTCAGTGATTGTCCCAACAAGAACAGTGATTGTTTTCCATGACGATCTCATCATTTCTCAGCTCCAAATTGGTAATCATTTCTCAAACTTTAAATCTTCTCTTCCTTTAATTTTTTTGATCTTGATCCGTGTACTGTAGCTTAATTTCATTCTTTTCTTTCCCAGCCACTTGATTTTTGTTTTTTTTATTTATCTATGTTTTTTAAGAAAGCCATCCATGCCTTGGCTTTTTTCTCATGGCCCATTGAGGTTGCTTGCATAAATCACCAATTGAAATGCTTGTTCTTAATCATCATCCTAACACCTGGCTTACAAATTGTTTTGTAATAAATTACGTGTCTAAAAAAAGTTGCAGAACCTCAAATCCTCTTTCTCTGAATTTCCTGAACAAGTAAATCTTGAGATTTTGAAGAATCTTGATGATGATGTTTCTTGCACAAATACATGAACTTCGTAGTTGGTCATTTACTGCCTCTTGCTTGGACTTTGACAACGATAAATCCAAAAATTCGGCCAGAAAGGTCGATCAAGATGAGATGTCCGAGTCATTAGCTGGTGGGCTGTTGCTTTGGTGGCTGCTATAAATGAACTGGATGCCGAAAACTTGCCATGAAGGATTGCTTTTCCTACAATTCATTAACAAGCTTAATCTCTTCTTTTCAAAAATATGTTCCAAGTTTTACATTTTAAAATTTCACTTTAAGCAATATTCTTACCCATCTTTTCGATTTGTGCATCTTGTTTTACTATGTGTACTAGTAACAAGATGCTCGATCACAAATCCTTTTAAAGAATTAAAAAAATAATACTACTTGACCTACAAACTCAGTTTATGAGTTTTAGTTTCAGAAATTTCTCCACTTTTAATAATAATAATAATAAAAAAAGAGAATAAATTTTAATCATTTTTAAATTAATTTCTGGGCCACGTAACAATCCTCTTTTCAAAGGATAAGATGACATTATGATCTGCCAATTTCTATATGCAATTTATGTGACCCTCCTTTCTCTCTTCTATGAATGGATGCTGAAAGGAGCATTATGGTCCAAGAGTATAGTTTGTATACGTTATGTTTTTCATGATCCTGGGTTTTTCATTGTTAGGTTTGAAAAAGAATTGACTTCTTGCTGCTGGAACCACTTAATGCCAAAATTTGTATTCTAATTACTGGGACGTTGATTAATTCTTGACAGTTAAGGCTCTAAATCAAGCAAGACTGGAAGCAAATATTAGAGCATATGGAGAGACCAAGCACCGAAAGAAATGGCCTAGCCCATATGCAATGGCTTGTGGTGTGTTACTTTTGTTATCACTTTTGAAGTATGTCTATCATCCTTTGCGTTGGTTTGCTATTGGAGCAGTGGCTGTTGGCATCCTTCCCATCTGCTTGAAAGCTGTTGCTTCCTTGAGGAATTTTAGGCTTGATACCAACGTTCTTATGCTTATTGCAGGTAACTTATTTTTTCCTTTTTTTTTTTCCACTTACGTGAATAGCATGGATTGACATGGATTTTGCAGTGGTAGCTAAGTCAAATCGTTACTATTATTTCGCACCGAAAGTTTTCTGTTATTATTCATACTTGTTTTCTATCATCACTTTATCTTGTCTTTTGTGGATAAGTATGTCTTGGTAGTTTCACAAATCACTTTCCACGTATAGGCCACCGTTATATATTTACACCAGCTCCACCTTCCCTTCTATGTAAAGGTCCATATAGTAGCTGAAAATGTTTATAGGATCTTTCATCTGCTAGGAAACTTGATAAACCTAGCGCTAGGCTAGGCATATATCATATCTTCTTTCAAGTTAGAAGAATGATTGCACAGCTAATTCAGGATACTAACAAACCCGTTTGGTTTCTTAGAAATTTCTCTACCAGTTGTAAGCATAGTGGTTTCTTGGCAGCCCACGTGTTGATTTTTGCCAGCTAGTTATTAAATGTAGTCCGCCCATTTTCTTCAAGTTTGAGATTTTGACCATATAAATATAGTATGGAAAATTCAAGCTAACCGAATTTGACCTCCACTTATGGGCACTGGCTGCATAAATCCAAATGGTATCTTGTCTCATCCTTCTATGACTCTTGATGATTTTTTTTTTACATACTGGTTTCCTTCTTCCTTCAAATCTAACCTAAATAGTATTGCTGTAAAAGGTGAACAATGATTTGATGACTTTTAAGTTATTTATTACTCATAATGTGCTATATAATTTTAATTCTTTTCCAAGGATTCGATTTTTATCCTAAAAGCTATAAGACACATGGCATTAGGGCCACATTTGAAGTACTTGACCAAAGAGCATGTTGAAGTCAATAATGCTAAAGCATTTTCCTTCCCTTTTTTATGTTCCTTTTTACTGAATCTGTTAGCTTGGTGTTCCACAAATACATTGAATACTCAAAATGGCACGGCTTTACAAGTATATTTTACACATCAGAAAAGCAGTCAAGACCCCTCTTCCTTGGAAAACTGAAATATAGTATATTTTATTTAAACAAACACTCCAGAGAAAGTGTATGATTAAATAAGTAAATCCATAAAGTACAGACATTTGAACTTTTGAATTTAAACATGCTATCAGGACTCGCATGCAGCTTCTTGTCCAAATCTTTACTTGTTTTGTCTATATCTTTTAACCTGTTATCAAAGGAAGGATCAGTACCTTACTTTACTTGACTTTAGTAGTTGCTGTATAAGGTGAGAATTAATGCAAAGCTGAAACAATCTAACTTTTGAATTGGATTTGTAGTTAGTTTATTTTAGCAATAAAATATATTGGACTAAAGAAAAAGAAGTGAGAATTAATGTGAAATATCTATATTGAATTGCTGACGGATTATATTAATGTTAATAGTATATATTTGGATGAAGCAGGTGCTTGTTTATAGTATTATGCTTAATTTACTTGTCTGACTCACGAAGTATTAATTTGTGACAGTCATAGGAACAATTGCGATGGATGATTATATTGAAGCAGGAACTATTGTCTTCCTGTTCACTATTGCTGAATGGCTAGAGTCAAGGGCAAGCCACAAGGTAATCTTAAGATAGTAATTGTGTTAAAAATATGTATTTGTGCTAGCTAATAGTCTGCCATGTCCAATGATATAGTAGAATGGTACAATAAGCTGAAAATTTGTCTCCATTAATGGGTAGTAATTAAATTTGTGACTTCAGAACCTTGCTGTCTCAGGTTCGAATTTTGAAATGGTTAGCCCAGAATATTACCCTTGCTTTGTTGTAGTTGCAAGATCAAAATCAGTAATGAAACTTTGTAAATGGATCAAAGACATGGACATATTTTCCTTTGTCCTCAAACATATTGGAAGTAGAAGCCTAAGAACTACCATGCTGATTCTGGATGCTATTACAGAATGGAAATGAATTTCATTGTACATACAGTTTTCGATACTTAATGCTGAAAATACAATGTTTCTGCAGGCCAATGCTGTCATGTCATCATTGATGAGCATAGCTCCGCAGAAAGCAGTCATTGCTGAAACTGGGGAAGAAGTGGATGCTGATGAGGTCAAGTTAAACACTGTTCTTGCAGTTAAGGCTGGTGAAGTCATTCCAATTGATGGAGTTGTTGTCGATGGTAACTGTGAAGTGGATGAGAAAACGTTAACTGGAGAGTCATTTCCAGTCCCCAAACAGGTGGATTCAACTGTCTGGGCAGGCACCATTAACCTAAATGGTATCAATACCTCTTTCTGGCCTTGTGCGAATTGTTTCTGAATGGATTTTGGCTTTGGTGGTAATGGGGTATTTGCCATTCTCAGGTTATATGAGTGTTAGAACTACTGCTCTTGCTGAAGACTGTGTGGTGGCTAAAATGGCAAAGCTTGTGGAAGAAGCTCAAAACAGCAAGTCTAAAACTCAAAGGTTCATAGACAAATTTGCTCAATACTATACTCCAGGTTAGTCATGCTTCAGTCTAATTAAACACCATTCATCCTGTTTTATAGGCCTTGGCTGAAGTGAGTACTGAGTGTTAAAGAATAATATAAATTAAATTTTGAAACCTCAACCTTATAGCTTTAAGTTTATGGGTTAAAATGACTTTTTGACATGGTATTAGAACTTTGATGACCAAATAATCACGAGTTCAAATCCCATCATTCTCTCTTCTAATTTAATAGTACAAGGTAGTATGGGTTTGTATGAGTTTTAAATCTAAAAGGTTTTCACTTGAAAGGTATGCTAGAGAATAATATAAATAATATCTTGAAGTCTCACCTAAGAGCTTAAGTGCTTGGGTTAAGATGGTTTTTTAGTATTGAGAAGTAGTATTTGGACAGCCCTTCACTTCATTCTTTTAGAGTGAATCGGCCGCTTGATTTCTGGACAATCCTCCTACCTTCTCATTTATTTCATTTGTTTCCAATTTTCAGCGGTGATTATTATATCAGCTAGCTTTGCAGTGATACCGCTTGCACTACGATTGCACAACCGTAATCGCTGGTTTCGTTTAGCATTGGTTGTTTTAGTCAGTGCATGTCCATGTGCTCTAATCCTGTCTACACCAGTTGCAACATTTTGTGCTCTAACAAAGGCGGCATCAGCTGGTCTTCTGATCAAAGGGGGCGACTATCTTGAAACACTAGGCAAGATTAAGGTCATGGCTTTCGACAAAACCGGTACCATAACAAGAGGTGAATTTGTTGTCACAGATTTCCAACCTCTCTGCAATGATATCAGTGTAGACACATTGCTTTATTGGTAAAGACCAGCTCCATTTTGCTATAATTATGGTAAATTTTTCTCCACTGGAAAGTGATGTTCATGAAAGTTTCACAGGGTATCAAGCATTGAGAGTAAATCAAGTCATCCTATGGCGGCTGCACTTGTTGACTATGGAAAGATGCATTCAATAGAGCCACAGCCTGAGAAAGTGGAGGAATTTCAAAATTTTCCTGGAGAAGGAATTCAAGGAAAAATTGAAGGGAAAGATATATATATTGGGAACAGAAAGATTGCTCACAGAGCATCTGGAACAGGTAAAAGCCTGTATATCCTAGTAATAAACTGCTATCATTGGGCTTTCAAGGTGTTCTAATTGCTTTGGTGATGTGTTCTTATAGTTCCAACACTAGAAGGCGACAAGAAGACAGGAAAGTCTGTCGGATATGTGTACTATGGAGCAACTCTTGCAGGGATTTTTAGTCTCTCTGATAGCTGTAGGACTGGGGTTGCTGAGGCCATTAAGGAACTGAAGTCATTAGGCATTAAAACTGCAATGCTTACTGGAGATAGTGAAGCTGCGGCTATGTATGCACATGAACAGGCAAGCTCTTATCCATAATCATATCTGATTTATGTTCTATCTGCATTTAACTTCGAACTGACATGGAAGTAAATTGAATGCCATGTGCAGCTAGAGCATGCTCTTGAAGTTGTTCATGCAGAACTCCTACCTGAAGACAAGGCGGCTATTATTAAAGAACTTAAGAAGGAAGGACCAACAGCAATGATTGGAGATGGTCTGAATGATGCCCCTGCATTAGCTACTGCTGACATTGGCATTTCAATGGGAATTTCAGGTTCAGCACTTGCAACAGAGACAGGGCACGTGATTCTTATGTCCAATGATCTCAGGAAAGTACCAAAAGCCATCCGGCTTGGCCGTAAATCTCATAGAAAAGTGATTGAGAATGTGATTATGTCCATGAGCACGAAGTCTGCTATCCTGGCCTTGGCGTTTGCTGGTCACCCACTTGTTTGGGCAGCCGTTCTTGCTGATGTAGGTACATGCTTGTTGGTCATTTTGAACAGCATGCTGCTTTTACGAGGCACTCGTGCAGGAAAATGTAAAAAATCATCAGGTGCGTCGCATTCGCACAAACATGGTATTAAGAATTCATCACACAATCATCATAATTGTTGTTCTAGCCAAAATGTCAAGAAGGTGGAATGTGGGGCTCAAAAGTGTTGCTCTAGCCCAAAAGTTGAGCAGGTGCAGAGCGGGGCTCTAAACTCAACCTGTGCCTCAAGGTGTTGCTCTAGTCCAAATGTTGAGAAGGTGCCAAGTGGGTCTCAAAATTCAAGCTGCAGCTCAGGGTTTTGCTCTAGCCCTAAAGTTGAGAAGGTTCCCAGTGGAGCTCAAAATTCAAGTTGTGCCTCAGGGTGTTGTTCTAGCCAGAAAGTTGAGAAGGTGCAGCTTGCCGCTCAAAATTCAAACTGTGCCTCGGGATGTTGCTCTAGCCAGAAAGCTGAGGTGAAGCTTGTGGCCCAGAATCCAAGCTGCGACTCAGGGTGTTGCTCTAGACCAATAGTTGAGAAGGTTCAGAGCGAGGATCAAAATTCAAACTGTGCCTCAAGATGCTGCTCTAGCCAGAAAGTTGTGAAGGACCATTGTGTGGCTCAAAGTTCAAGCCTTACCTCAGGATGCCAATCTAGGCAACATAGTGTCAGCTCATGCAGAAACCAAGAGTGCGCTGACTCAGCTCAGAGCCATGATGCACCTGTAGCAACTAATGCTAGTGGAGTTCATGAAGCCAAGCACCACGATCATAGTTGCTTTAACACAGTCAATCCTAACACAGAGGCAAATCATCCACGCAGCCATGACTGTTCAAACCCTCCCAGATTGAAACATCTATGCCATAATTCAGTAGAAACTCAAGGTAAATGCTCAGATGGAGATGGTCTTCATAAGGAAAAACACTGCCACCATTCACACGGTGAACCTGCTGCTACTCATCATGGTATTCATCACCATTCAAGTCATTCTTCTCATGATTTAGAAGGCAGCCAAAAAACGACAGACAATACTACTAATTGCTGCTCCAAGAGCAGGTGTAAAAACACTATTGACATTCCCAAGAATGAAGAGTCAATAGGAGAGATTGTTGAATCCAGTTGCAGTCCCCAGCATCAACATCAAGAGTTACACCAAGAGTTGAAGAAGAAGTGTTGCACAGGCTGCGCTCCACCTCACACTGTTATTGATATCGAGCCAACAACCATGCATGCTTGTATGAGCATGGAGAAGAGAGAGATTGGTGGATGTTGCAAGAGCTACATGAAGGAATGTTGTAGCAAGCATGGACACTTTGCAACTGGCTTTGGTGGAGGTTTATCTGAAATCACCATCAAACAAGTATAAAGATCTTTAGATGAATATTGTTTTGGCTCTAGCGAAGAAACTAGGAAATTTTGGTGAAATAGGTGTAGTAACCAAGAACCAGAATTAATGAATGAAATGAAATGAAGAAGTGTGTTCGATGTTTACAGAAATATTGTATTTCATCAGTCTGCAAGTGATTAAAACCCTTGTACATCAATATGAATAATAATTAGTCATATATCTGAATTATGACAAGCTTGATCTTCTGTTTAACATTTTGAAGTAGTGAATTTTGTTCTTGGGTAGTTCTCCATTCTTGACCTGCATGTGCTGCTGTTTACGTATTAGGGGCTTTGCGGGGCTGGATCATGCATTGGTTCAATAACATTCATGAGTGGCCGTCATGTAGCCTGTGACTATTGGCTGGATTGCTTTTTTCAACAACAGGGGCACTGTTTTAATCCCTATTTAGTAGGACCCATTTAGAGATATTTGTTTTTTTTTTTTGGAAAGATAATGATTGGATTTCGAAACCCATCGATGTTGGGGTCCCGGAGCATCACTCAATTTCCTCCACCTTCTGGGACCAATCATTATTATCTTTTAATATAAAAGTCGAGAGTGCCTTCCCGATGACTTTTTTCATAGTAGGATAGATTTCTTTTTTTTTTACTCAAATCTTGAATTAATAAAAACTACAAAAGTAGAAGGTTGACCACTGTTCAAATCCCTCTTTTTTCAAACTTTTTTCTCATTCTGTTACATTTTTTATATTAAATTAAGCTTCAAATTAAAACGTGAAAGAAAAAAACGGCTAATCCTAAATTTATGATAATTTTTAATCTAATTTAAAAATTTATCTTATTTATTTTTCAATGAAAAAAAAATAAAAAAATTATCTAAAAATAATAAAAGATAAAAAATAATTGGTTGTTACGATAATAACAACAAATATGTTCTAACTTTGTTTGAATTTGATAATGGTTAGTTTTTCTTGAAAAGATATACGAAGAAAGAGATTGAGTTTTGTTTTAATTTTTTAAATTTGGTTGATTTTGGATTTTTTAAATAATTTTAGAGTATTTTAAACTTGATAAATTGTTTAAAAAGATTTATATATATATATATATATGTATGTCACCTTTTATAGAAATAAAAATGTGGCTAAAGAGCGTATATAAGCCCACATGCTCTTGACATGCAAATCACTTTGTCTGTATACATGTATTAACATTTTAAAAAAAAACAATAATCTTTAACATTAGATTTTTAATGATTTATTTATTTATTTTAATTTTATAATTTTTATATTGGGTTGATATTGAATTGGTTTGTATTTTTATCATATAATTAAAATAAAAATATATTATTATAACCTATTAGAACTTATAACCCAAATCATGAATTTAACAAGTTAACTTAGGCCATGTTTGTTTCTCAAAAACTTATTTCTGAAAAACTATTTTTCAAACTTTTTTGTGTTTGTTTGTTATTAAAAAAGTTGGTCAACAGAAAATAATTTTTAATCAAAGAAAAATTTGGCTTGATTTTCAGGAAAGTATTTTCTAAAACTTTTTGGCTGAAATCACTTTCTGGAAGTTGTGAAAAATTTAGAAATATCATATTATTTGCTGATTATATCAAATTTGATCCTCAAATTTTTAATTGCTATATATATTTTGTTTTAAATATTTATTTTTCAATTTTATTTCTTAAAATTTAATTTTTATATTAACTTTGGTTATCATTTTTGTAATTTTTATTTGTTTTTCCTTTATTATTTTTTTATTGAAATTTTTTATTTATCAAATTAAATCCTCATTCTTTTAATTGTTACTTATTTTATTTAAAATAATTTATGAAATATTAACTATTATTATTTTAATTTCTTTATCTTTTAATTTTTTAATTTTTTAGATTTGATCTTTATTATTTTGATTATTATTTATTTTATTTGAGATAATTTATGAATTATATTTTTTTCAATTTCATTCTCATTCAACCTTTTTAATTTGTAAGATTTGGTTCTCATTATTTTAATAATTTTTTAAAAAATAAAACATTAATAAGTTATTTTCCAGCTTATTTTTTATAACATAACCAAATACTAAAAAATGTTTTCTAACTTATTTTTCATTACACTACCAAACATCAGAAAATAATTTACTTTTCTGGAATTCACTTTCCCATAATTCATTTTTCAAAAGAAAACTATTTCCTTGCAAACAAACGAGGTCTTAGATTGATTGGAATCAATCCAATACATCACCATCTAATTTTTTTAAGAGATGTCAACTTTATTTTTTTTAAAAAGTCAAATAACTTTTTATTGCTCGTTGCCTAACTTGGACCCGTATATATGAGTTTTTTTTTTAAAAAAATTATGATACTCTAGTCCACTAAGATACACACACTTAGCTTAAACTATTTGTTTTTTAAAAATTCAATGTTAAGTTTTTGATGAATTTTTTTATTTATTTTTAATTTTATCATTTTGATATTGTATTGATTTTGGATTGGTCTTTAAGTTTTTTTATCATGCAATTAAAATAAAAAATATGTTGTTGAACCTATTAGAATTCACAACTTAGGTCACAAAGTTGATAAGTTAACTTGAGTTGAAAAAAAATTGATGTAATACATTATCATTTCAATGTTAAAAAAGAAGAAGTAGCTTTGTTTTTTTCTTTTAAAATTCAAACCCCTTTTAATGGTTGTCAATGTTGTCTTTAAAAACATGTTTTTGATTTTATATTTGAACTTGTTAAGTTAACTGAATTATATTAAGGTAACTTTTATATGATTTAATTAAAAACTTGAACTTGGCAAGAACTCGAGTAAAGATTTTTGAAGTTTGACTTGCTACACTAGGTTTTATAACAATATCACATTTAATTTTTTTTATCCAACTTGCAGCATTGTATTAGAAGTAATAAATAAATTATTCATATTTAAAAAATCTTTTTAATTTTTTTTTAAACATGTGGACACCTAGTTACCTTTTCAACCAGATAAAATCGGTGTAAATAGTATCAATCATTGTAAGACCCATCAAAAAAAATTTAAAAAATCTAAAACATGTGGATGTTATTGTGGTTCAAAACACAACACATTTTTATATAAAAATTTGCAATTTGGCCATCAAACAAACTTTTTATCTTAATATAATCCTTATAAATTGTGCTGGTTAGGATTTAAGCATAATGATTTGTTTTGATGTTTTTTTCATAGGATTATCTTGGTGAAAAAAAAAACTCTAAAATTAGGTTTACATTCAATTTTGTATAATAGAATTGATTTTGTTGCATAAAAAAAATTAAGACTTAAAGGACCAAATCAAAAAATAGATAACAATGTAGCGTTTTTTACTATTTATTCTATGCCTTTTTGGAGATTTTGGCCTACAAATCTTTCTTTCTCTCAGCTTATAGGTCCTTTTAGTTTGGAAATTTTATATTTCGAACCAAAACTTTTTTTTTTATCATGTTTTGGTTCCCAGATTTTAGAGATATGAGAAAAACTCTCTAAAACAAGAGAGAAAATAGAAAGTTATCAATTGATCAAATTTTAATAATTAAAATAATCAAAATTGATGTCAATTAGATTTTATTTCATGGAAGGAGTTTCATTTAGCTTTTTTGGCCTTTTACTTTGCTGAAAAATAAAGTAAACCGAGCCTTAAGTTTTTTTTTGAGATTTTTAATTTTTTTTAATTAATTAAGGATTGTTTTTAGGTAAGATATGAATTTATTTGAGTTTATCAAATATTTATTAAATATTTTTAGATAAACATAACTTGAAAATAAATTTCTAGATTAAAAATTCCATGCCTTGGCTTTTCAGCAACCTCTTTGATTTTCAAACTCCTACCAACGCTTCATTTACTTCTGTAGATGGGGTGTCATCTGCACCATTTTTTTTAAAAAAAAATTAAAGGGTTTGTTATCCCTTTAACATAAAGAAAAAAGAAAAGAAAAATAAGAAGGTTTTCCGCGTGAGCTAGACATCCTTCTTTTTAAGCCATATGCATAGGCTATCGGGTTTGTCCTGTTTTCTTTCTTTTTTTACTCCAAGATTTTAAATTTTAAATAATTAAAATATTTTAGTTAAAAAATAATTTGGGAATTTTTCTTATTAAACACCATTAATTTTTCACTTTTTGATTAAGATTATCACTTTTTATTTATATTATCAAGTGTTATTTTTGTACAATCTTTCATGATTTTTTTTTTAATTTGATTTGATCAATAAATTTTTTGGGATATTGTTTAATTAAATACCATTCAATTATTTTTTTTAGTTTTTGAATAAGGTTATATCATTCTTTTTATAACATTAGCAAACTTTATTTTTTTCTAGCCTTTCATGGTAATTTGTTTTTAAATTTTATTAGATGACTTGCTTGTGCTAATTTTTATTGTTGCATTGTTAAATATAAAACATGTTAATTTTTTTTTATTAAACCTACTAGAAACCTTATGGCTGGTTTAACAAGATTATCTGAGATGATTTATAACATCATTGTCAAAGAAAGGTTCAAAACAATGCCATCTTGAAAATTATTTAACCAATTTAGTTTTGAATTATCTAAGTCAATTAAGTCATATTGTGTATTTTTCCACCTGGTTTAAGTTAAGCCTCGAGTAAGGTAAGCACCATAGTTGAGAAGACTCTAGTTTAGCATGTCATGTCAGGTCAAGTTTGGCGACAATAAAAAGAAGTTTCCTGTAAACAATGTATTGTTCTTGTAATTTAATTTTTTTTTATATACATATCAAAATTTATCTAAAAATATATGCTTGAAAAAACAACGAACCAAGTAAGAAAGGGTGCATGTTTATAAGAAAAAAAAACATGTTCCTTTCTTACCTTTATTTCAAATAGTCTTTTTTCTATTTGTTTTGGTTGATTTATAATTTTCACTAAATGAAGTACATAAAAAAAAAGGAGTTATATTTTTCTGTGAAAAATAAATAAATTATATTAACCGAACATACTTTTCTTATAAAAAAATAATAATTACCACAAAAATAAATAAAAAAATTAAAAGTTTTTTGCAGCACAACATCTAATATCTTAACATGTATTTATCTATTAATTTTTTTGATTTATTCTTTTATTATCATTGAAACCTCTTTTTAATATTTACTAGCAACTTTATCCTCAATCTATTTTATTAAAGTATTTTTTTTATTATTCTACCTACCAATTAACTAGTGATATATCTGTCACATGGTGAAATATCATGGTTTACATATGGTTTTTGGAATGTA